AACAGAATGGTTTTTTAAACTTTACAGTTACTGCAGATCGTTCGTCTAAAAATATGCAAACTAATACTATCCTACATACTAAATAAAAACACGACGAAACACTGTCTTTCGCCTGCAAATCGTGAAAAACAGAATATAAGCCCAGCACCCTGTACAAAGAGTTTCTATAATATTCAGTCCAAACTCGGTATATGCTCATCTCGGTAGTGGTCTATTATTTAAAATGGTGCAGCCATTCAGGTCAATATTTTAGCATACTGGCGACCTATTGTTTTTTTGTACCTATGGTCTTACAACCGAAATATAATATTCTTTGATAATCAATTTAACTGTGTTTCTTTTGTATAATTGACAGAGTATGTACAAATTATAAATCAAAAATTTGTTCCTTGTTTGGGGTGTATACGCCATGTTAAAATAATAAAGAGGTATTTCTATCTAAAGATTATGTACGACTTGATTATACATGAATTATACTTCAAAACTCAATAATCGTAGAAAACACGACGGTCAATTAGATCGGTAATATAAATCATCATTATTATGTCCAGGAGTAGTACTATATTTAATGAAAATAAATGGCGTAAATGACGCTTTGACCTGTTTAGTTATTTTGCCCCCCCCCCCCCCAGTATATTCCGCTCAAGGGCCACCGCAAATAAAGCGAGCCATTAATAGTCATATCGTTATTTATTATTATTATTATTATTATTATTATTATTTCAATATTCGTTCATTATACATTGATAAACAAATACGATATCCATGCATAATTAAATTATTTTTTTGCAATACAAACTATAGAAAGTGAAATGATTTTTAAAACGCTTTCAAATGTTTTATAAAATTATATCATATTGTGCATGGGGCATGCCTGTATTATGCATGAAAAAAAAATCAATCGATACGTAAAAACGATGAATAGTATATTTTTCATTCTAATGTCATTATTATCATTATTATTATTACTGAGTATGTGTATGTGTGTGTGCGCGGGCGGGTTAGTGGGAGGGTGGGTGTTTAAAATAATACTGTTTCTTTCCGCGTCTCGTGTTAACATCATTGGTCCGTTACAGCTGAAATGCCCAAGTTTTTCAAACGTTTAATAGGCAAAAACCGAGGAAAATTACTACCAGTCGTTTATTTCGTACAAGTCGCTTGGCAAATTGAATACAAACCATAATTAAAACTAAACGTTTACCGGTAAAACGCGTGCGCGGGCACGGCAATGACGCATTCGGCGGAGAATGCGAACGACAGGACGATAATGACGTTTCGGGGCGATTAAGGCCTCGGAATAATGTGATTTAACTTACACAAAATTAATGGGTAAAAACAGTATGGATTTACTTGGGATATGCCTTCAGAAGCAACTTTACGCTTTTGATTAATAACAATAATGATACAAAAGCGCGATGAGAAAGTAAATAATAATAATAACATTCGCCTGATTGCGATTAGCAGCGCCTCCGCCGATGATGCCTTATTCAACTCGGACGAATAAATACTTGCCGGGCATTCGATCATAAACTAATAACTCAAATGATTTGATTACACGGTCGATGAGTGTGCAATCAACGGCTAATATTCTGCTCGGATATTTAATCAACTTTTGTCGGCCAGTGTGTGGTATTCGTAGTTCGTAATGCTTACATCGTATTACCCGGACCGATTTTATTGACGTAAGATTATATGCTCGTTATGGTGATCAAATATTTATGGTTTTCATCCAGTACACCAATAAGTACTAACTTAAACTACAAAAGTAGATAGCTACAACAGAAAACCTTCACTAGAATATACATTTTTTGTATTGCTGGTTTTTGTCACAACCTTATTAAGTCAATACATTCTGAATAATGTATATCATAATGCTTATCTTCGTTGTAAGGAACTAAAAATGGACGCTCCCGTATTTTGAGCATTGAAAATTAAATGATGTTATATCAACACCGCCATCTTACATTATTTCAACTTTCAAAAATTATCACTTGGCCAATAAATAAATAGCTACGATTGTGGTCAGTGATTACCATAAATTATATGCTTAAAGATATGAGCTATAATATGTCACATAAAATATCAACTCTATTACATTGTTATTATCCAGTCAACAAGAAGTCTTAAGCCATGTCTCTTGACTTCGCTACAAGTCATGGAGACTACCCCCTACAGTAGACAAATATAAGATAGCAATGCACTTCTTTTGATTCAATTAGATATTCCATCGTTGAATATTAATATTCAATAAGTATAGTGACTTAATAACGTTGGAGTTTGAGTATGACTTTAGATTTGCACTTGTGATATATTGCTTATTAAAAATGAATGTATATATATGCATATAGCTTTTACCTTATTAATCATTTTTTATTATTTGTTTTCTCTTTTCACTCAAACCGTACATGTCTTATCATCGTTTTTCATTGAATCGATTTTCTATAAATCATATGGATATGATTCAAATCCATCGGTGAATCGAGACTAACCAAACACATTTAAAATATTAAAATTATTCAGTTATGATTTGAAAAATGTCACCAAATTATATTATATTATATTATATTAATATTATATTTATACATTTCGTACTAAAATAAATATCAATAAATTGAATCCCGCATTTGGTTTAAGAACACCTAGAGTAAAATATTTAAGTCTAATATTGATGCGTCGCTGAAAACTTGACTTCAATACCACGTCTACACAAACGTAACAGCAGGTACCCATAAGCAATATTACTAAGGTAGACATTAAATTATTATCAATAGGTTCCAACGACAGTATATATACCTACATTAAATACATAGCATCAGCTAATAATCGTATTCGGTGACCTGCCTGCCCGTCATAATTATATGCACCCCGTTAAACTCGCTTAAGCTAAAAACCCGTAACGACACTGAGTTTCGAATAAATAACTAAAACAAAAAAAAACGAAAAACAGGTTGGTAGAGGCAGGTAGCATAAATTATAAGGATCGCAAAAAAAACGCAAAAAGGGATTTTGATGTTTTCATCATATGAGCACGCGTGTCGAGGAGCTTTTTATGTATAATATCGGTCAGGCCAACATACACTCGACTGCACTATAATCCATACAGCTGAAATGTAAACGCTTTATATTGAACAACTATATAATAAACGCACATGCAGAGTACCTACACAATCTATATATTGTAAAAAAAAAAATGGGTTTTGTTTACGAGGTCGATGCGGTAGAGTTCTGAGCACTACTGCACATCACGGATGGACGCTGTGCACCGTTCTACGAGATAAATCAGAAAATATTATATTATATTAGAATATTTTTACAAAATAATATAACGATAATAATAGCTATTGGTTTCGCTTCTAGAACCTGTTTTTACTATGACAACATAATATTTTTAGTTCTTATGTGAAACACACAGATATAAATGTATTGTATTTTGTTTAATTCTCTTAAATCCATCACTGTCCCCCTTAATCTTTCCTCCATCCTAAACTCCAATTCTGAAAAAGTCGTAAATATAATTACTAATTTTATTTTGGAGGCTGGTTTCATCATATAATTTACTTTTAAGTTAATTGCCGTTTTAATTTTTTGTATGTCTTTTAAATATTTTAATGTTATCACTTTATCAGTTATGCTGTTTTATTTAATTATTGAGCTGTAATAGTAAAACTAAAAGCTAACAAAAAACAAAAAAAAATGTATTGTATTCTATTCTATATGACTATATATTAGTGGTGAAACACCATCAAAATATAATCACTACTGATAATATTATCAATATATTGTTATATTGTGGTTTAATTGATAATATTGTGTTAAATATTTTAAGCGATTTTTATTTTTACGAAAAATCATTTGACAAAATTTAAAATATGCATCGTCGATTTGCATTATTTCATCAGTTCAAATGTCTTACAGCATCGTGGTACTTTTGATGATAGTTGGATTTTCTCTTGAAGGCTTAGCATTGTCAATCATTATGATAAGTGAATTTGTAGAAATAATGGAAAAATATTGATATACTTTTAACAGTAAAACATTTTGGTGATCTATTAAATTCCACACGAAAACAACGTTTAAATTATGGTCTGAAAAATGAAAATGGTTTTTTTATCAAATATTAGATAATACAATATTTCAGTTATCGATAACTTTATAAGTTATGAGTGTTATGACTAAAACTGTATAACATTTAAAATAAATCTTTGAAACCACCTGTCAAATACAAAGTGCTTGATTTAAGACTGAAAAATACCTGGTTATTTATTGAAATGGTCGGCCAGCTGTAAAATTGTTTTAAATAAATAAATGTTGACCCCATGGTTTCCCGTGAGATACCTACGAAGTGGTAAAATACTTATGTGTGAACTGCTTGGAACATTGACCCTTTTGTTAACACCAAAAAGATTCAGCGTTATCTAGTATAATATAAAATAAAAATAAGTGTAAGTAACGCTTTTGAGTTATATTACGTTAAAATATTTTAGTTGAACTCCGTGTGAGTATTTTTATTATACTGCAGAGGCGTGATAATATAGAATGCTTGTGTAGTCTAATTGAATTTAAATTTCACTCAAACGCTATTCACTCAGTACGGATGTTAATTATACAAACTCATTGGGGTGAAAAATATAAAAAATATTGTTTACCTTTATCATAAAAAGAGAGCCACCCTAGACTCTAGAGTATGATGTTTAGATGCACCTACGCAGTAATTAAACTATATAATATTAATATAAGCTAAAACGTTGTCTTCCCCAAACCTCTACTCACCCAAGCCGTCTGAAACTGCCAGGACAAAAGCTCCCTACCACCCTCCCGCTTCATCCCCGTCAACCTGCCCACTCTTTCCGGTGCACTCGCAACCCATGCCAACCCATAACGCATAATATGGTATGCACTACCCATGTAATACCACCATGCCTACACTGTATAAAGTATTATGTGTACAATATTGTAAACACACGTCTGACGCTGGCAAATTTGCACTATCGTTTTCGCAGGGTCAAGTTGATCGAGTGTTCGGCCAAGGACAACGTAAACGTGCGTGATCTGTTCAAATGCTTGTTGGTGCTGTCCCGGAAGCTGAACGGATCGGAAGACCAGGCGGCGTGCCCGCTGAAGCGCCGGTCCAGCGCATACGTCAGCCACACCAAGTCGTCGAGGCGCGCAGCGGAGAACTCGGGAGCCGCCACAACTTCCGGTCCGGCGGGCGGTGCTTCCGGACACAGACGTGAAGACCACCAGCTCCAGCAGCAACAGCAGCAGCAGCAACAGGAACGGGCGAAACCGCGCAGCCGCAGCCTGATCAGACGGTGCAGCCGGAAGGCCAAACAACAGATCAGGGACACGACCACCGGCGGAAGTGGTGGTGGGGGTAACGGCGGCGGTGTGGACGACTGCAACGTCAGCTAAATGCTCGCATGATAATTATTTAACATATGCGATACACGATATACCTGCATGACAACAGTAATAGTATATAGTGTCTTCAGTTGTCCGACGACAACAAAATTCACACTCGTACCTACTACACAACAATAATTCATTATGATTTTTGTCGTTTTATACGAATTGTAACTTTAGATAGTATTATACCGCGTGTACTACCCATCAGAGTTTTACTAAAATTTTATTTTCTAAAATTGTTGTATTGTTTATCGAATTTTTACCGACTCCTCCCCTCCACCCACGAAACTTGCCCCCGAAGTTTTATTTTTTTCAGTTTACTGTACTTCAGCCGTCAGCTAGAAATGTTTCTGTTTTCTCCCCTCTGTTTCATTACATATTGTAGGTACAACTACAACTACAGTTATTTAAACATCGATTAACGTTTTGGGTGTGCTCAAATAATAATAAATATTATTAGAATATGCGTCGACGACGTGCCTCTTGAAGCTATGTGAGTACCTACCTATGTACTAAAAAAATACATAGATACTGTATTATATACGATGATATTATAATATTAATATTAAAAAAACGTCTCTTGAGCGGTATTATAACTCATTTACGACGAAATATCCAGAACAATTTTTAAGTTTCACATCCTCCACACAAATTGTGTATATAATAATATATAATATAACATGCACACTCTGTATAATATATGTGTCGTTAATTTGTGTTTATCAGTCCAATGTAGCCGATCCTGAAACTACAAAATCACTTTTTTGTTTCTATATTATATTTCGTGCACCAGGCGTAGGTACTTTTAACGGTGCCGATATACTTGTGTTTACTTATATCATAGTTAACTTATATATCATGTATTATATTCCTTATTATTATGCTCTCGGCGTCGGATTATGCGTATTAAAATAGTTTTGATTAAAATATTATAATCACGGTCTTTATAAAATATTCACCCATAAAACTAATATGTTATATTATTATGCCATTGTGGCATTCGAGAAAACTCAACATGTATTAAACTAGATTATGAAATTAGTCAACTATTATTATTATAATAATTATTTTACTTTTTTTACACCGTATTGATTTGTTTTTCTGATTAGGAAATTCCATTAACGTACAAATTAAATTTTGGTTATATTATGTTATGTACTATTATTTTCGGTTTTACAATTCGTATTGACTGGAAAGTAATTATCATATTATTATTATTTATTTATAGGTGATAGGTTTCAAACAACGCTATGATTTTTGGGAAACAATTTACATTAATTATCAAAACCACTGGTTTTTGTGTGTACCTTTCAGAACGCGGGTTTTGACCGTGCTTAAAATGTAAATATAATAATTAACAAATAATTTTGACATAATTAATATTATAATTTTATTTAAATGTTCAACGTGTTTTGTTACGAATTATTTAATCTAATAAGCACGTTTTAAATATAATATAATTGACGGTGATCAGATGATTTTTATTACACCGGTTATCGTCTATATTTCGTGTAAATATTTTATGAATTTGAATATTTAATACGCTAACCTGTAATCTCTGATTTCACTGGTACAACATCTATGATTTAAACAATAAACGTGATAAATTGTAGTAAATTCGTTAATTTATGTGCCATTGATTTCCAAGTGCTTCCATAAGCGTATTGTCCAAATAGTCAACCTGTATAGGTACGATAAAAGAAAGTCTAAACACAGTAATATATTAGTCATAAAACGAACCAACATGTAATGTTAAACATCAGACGTAAAAAAATACATACTATTTATTCGTACTTGCATTTAAAACATATTTTATCTTAATTTGTTCACGAAGCATTTTCAAAAAGAAATGTGTACTCTAAAAGCAATTTCAACTACACGATACCTATATACTACTAAACTATACGCAATGTATTTAATCGTCCAAGTTATTAATTACTATTATTATTCTCATTCTGTATTCGATGTTACTATATACAATCTAATAACTTACCCATTTGACTAAATATATTATTTTATATTTACAGTTTTCAAATAACAAGCCAGCACTTAGGTACATCATAAAATAGTTATAGTAACCTACGTAAAGTACGAGTGCCTACATTAACAATGCATAAAAAACAAATAGTTGAATTTATATAGACAACAACATCCGTGAAAAGAAGTCTCAAATAAAAGGTCATAATATACTGAATTTTATTATTAATAATATATATTATTATGTGTAATAATATCACCATTAATGCCTATATGTACATAATAATAACTTGTTAATCAATCATGTCGTTTGATATTTTGTTGAATAATAATATAATTTTTTTTTTTTTAATTGATCCTGAGCCCGGCAACTGTGGCCGAATAATATAATTATAATCTACGATAATCTAACACTGCAGCTAAATTATAATATTTTGACTTGAAATGTGTGCATCATCGTTGCATATTTTGTATTGTTGTCGATTAATGTCTATACTTATTAGGCAGGTAGGTATTGAAAAAAAATAAATACGATAAAATAACTGTTGGTAAATATCCGTTTAAAATGCCGACGGGGTAGCAGGTTATGGGTTCTCAAATACCGCCTGCGATCGCCTTCAAGTATAATAAAACTCGAAAAAGCGAAAAATATTGCCTACGTGTTATTTCTCATTTTTCAAACATAAAATAGATGTGAAAATAAAGTGTCGTAGTTATATCCCCGTAGGTGGCATTCGTTGAGTAAAAATTTGTTTAGTCCAATCGGGAATAAGCAGGGATAATAATAATTAATTACGTATTTTTTTCTATGGATGTTTCCACATAACTATATAAATAAAAATTACATTCATTACAAATAAAAATATTATCACACTAATGACATACATTTTAAATCATAAAATTTGATGGAAACCACTGGCGATATCGTTTTATTAGTGAATATAATTGTTAAAACATGACATGAAAATCATGTTTTGAATAATCAATTCAGTTAATGGGTTTTACATACTATGTATATGTTCCCTAGATAGAAAAAGTTCGATTTTATTATGGTCTTGTGCAATTCATTTTAATTGGACGAAACTAATTAATTGTCTACAATGATTTTTCCATTAATTCGAATTTAAAATAATAAAAAAAAAATCCAGTGAACAACACTCCTTTCATGTCACATTAATTTGTATAATTTTAATCAGGCTATGGTGCAACTAATAAATACAATAGTTTATTATTGTTTTATTTTTATTTTTTCAACAGTCTCCAACAATTTTCAAGAGCATCGATATACTTTACTATTGAATATTGATACAATTAAAACACTGTACATTTTTTTTAACTTAATTCGATTGTATACATTTTTTTATTTTAGGCTAATTTTCAAGGAAATTAATGATTACTTATCAACTCACTATAATATAATAAACAACTAAATCCGTTAATGATTACATTTAAGGGACCAGTAGACATTGATAGTATCATCCTATAATATGTCGTTCTACTGATATTTATCATACATTTATACCTAAGAATTTCAAGTTAGTTAAATGCATAAACATTTATAATATACAGTAAGGGAATAACAATGTTAAAGTTAAGAAGATACATATTTATTTATACATATACATATTACATACTACATAATATATACACATAAATACATAATACATATAAAGTATTTCCAAACGAAAAATACATAATAATTTAACATTAAAGGATTAACCTTTATCCAGACTAATAACAAATTAATTGTGTTAGTAAGAAATTGTAATTAATAAAAATAAGAAATAAAAATTGTTTATTAAATTATTATTGATTAAAAACTCCTACTACAAAAGGAAAAACATCCAATGAATAATCTTTAGTGTATCGTCATCGGGTGTGAAGTTTTTTAAAGTTATGAATCTTTCTCTTATATGAAATTTATTGGTGTATTGCGTTTAAAACACTAGTAAATTTGAGGAAATATGCACTCTAAATGTTGTGTTCATAAATAAAACACCAAATCGGTTAATGTTTAAGATAACCATAATGTACCGTCTAAGTTTATTTCAAAGTTTCTGACTACATTATACTATTATAGCATACCGTATTTAAAGTTTCATATTCATAAAACATTTAAGTCAGTTTAATTTATAACATAACTTATACAAATAATTTCTGAAATTGAATAATTTACAAAAATTATATTTCGTTTGTTCTATAGTGATATGTATTATGCGATCTATTTATGCATCCAGACACATTATTAGGAAAAAGTTTGAACTTTTTTGAACATTTTTACAAAATTTTATTTCATAACAAATTTCGTTATTTTCCATTTTCATCGTTTTTTTCCTTTTTTTTTAATGACAACATATTTTGAAATACATTTTTTGATTTATATAAAGAAGCAGAATATATTATGTCGAAGTGTTATAATACATACAAATCGAATTTTTAATGAGTTGTTAATTATTTATGTGTATTAAAAGTTTTTATGAGCGAAGTTGAGTGGCACAGGATTTCCCCCAATTGGTTCACTGTTCCACTCATCTAAATTTTTTAAATGCATATAACTAATTAACTTCTCGTTGAAAATTCAATTTTTATTTATTAAAGTACCTACTCTGAATAATATTCTGCCTCAGAATATGAAATTAACATTATATGTCGTTATTCAAAAAAAGTAAGAACTTAGAATTTGAAAAATTACAAGACATATAATTTTTTTAACAATGTCTTACAGTGACATCTAATTATGTAAAAAAGTTAAAATATTTGAAAATAAAGAATGTATGCCTGAAATGAATCATCTTGTGAAAATCTCGGAGCATATTATGTGGCATTTATCCATTAAAAAAAAATAAAAAAATAAAAAGTTAAATCTTTTACACTTCAAATACTACATCCAAAATATAAATTATTGTTATTAGATGAAAACGTTTAGAATATCAATTTTTTTTTCTTTTGATTTCAACTGATAAACGAATATTGGACATATCCATAACGTCCCTTGTGATATTTCACAACAACCCGGGCAAAACAAAATTGACTGATGGCGATCATGTATTTATTTTTATTTTTTAGCATGAATTACAATATTTTTTCTAATTAATTTGTTTGTTTAGGGGAGCATTAAATCCACCACCAATATAATTTAAGTAATATATTCAAATTTCCAAATTTAATTCCAATAATCACCTTTAAGAAATAATCAAATAAATATATGTACTTTTACGATGTGTGAAGTATATTTTTTGCGCATTGGTAAGTGATTAAATAATTAGGAACAGGGTGCAATATAACATGTGTAGCGCCCCTCGAAAAAAAAAAATATAAATCGGATGAAATCACTTAAATTAACGCCGTTCGTAATAAAACAAAAACGGAAAGACTAAACTACTAATTTAAAACTTAACAATAATGATTATCTAGCATCCATATTATGTATGTTATCATATCACAAAAGAACAATTATATATATATATATATGTATTAATGTATTATGTATGATTATAATTTTTAATAACTTAATTATTGTATACATAATTATATTATAACGTTTTATAGTGTAAGTATATTGGTTTTTAATATAATAATAAACATAGTTTTGTTTCCAAATTGTACGTGGTTGTGTTTATTTTGTCTCACATTATGGTCCATGATAATTTCTCACTGTGTATCCTTTCATGTTAACTATAAAACCAACAAACTGAGTTGTTAAAAAACTACCAGGTTAATGTAACATCAACGTCCATAGTAAATATAACGATTCATTTTTTGTTTTAATATCTATATTTTAGAGCATACTATTGTGATATTGTCCGTATTAAAGTAAGAAATGAATATAGTTTTCTGCCTACTATCTAGAAAAGAATCTAAGTCAAGTTTTCAAAAATAGACTTCAAAGTTCAAACGGACTTCTCTTTGATTTTTTTTGACATATTTCACTGGAATACATGTTCTAAATGCATGAATATTTTAATTAACTTAGAATTCAATACGTACGAGATGGCGAGGAATAGATTGGCATAAAATAAATTATTTAAAATATAAATTTATTTTTAGATTATACGTTTTTTGATTTAAAAAATAAACTTTTATCTCTATAAACACAACTTTTTTGTTAAATATCCGTCGAGTAAGTATAATATTATGTACCTATAAGTAGTATTAATGTGCCAAACTATATATTTTACATCTACGCATCTACACAAGAATTGCTGAATTGATTGACTAGGTATATTTGAACATTTTACATTGAGTATCCGGGATCGTAGTATTATATAATCATAATACGATATATATTATGTTCTATAATAATATACGTATTTTATTGTTTACACTTATATCATAGTATCCGTACAACATAAAGCCAGACTCAAAACAGCTAAACGCGTACTACAGTAAATATTTGTGTTGCTTAAAATGCGGTACAGTGTAAACGAAATTTTTATTGCACAACATAAACATAAAGGGCAGGGACTAAAATTGTGTGCATTAAAATACACTTTGTGTAATACGAAATGTCGAGTGTGCAGTGGCCTGCAGTTTGTTATGATGAACATAATAATATTAAAATCGTCATTCGTGAGAATAACTGTACTTTTCAAAGTAGGTAAGTACCTATTTGCAAGTTACAATTTGAAATTCAATAATCTATAAAATTTCAATCGTAATGCAAATATTTTTGTATTTATTGACAAATTGTAAAATTTAAATCTGCACAAATATTAAAAATGTATTATTTTCAACCCCACAACCCCAGAGGTTCAGTGATCATCTTTTTTTGATATAGTTAGAAAATTGAAAAATCTACATTGGTTATCGCATATTATAGTATTGATTATTGTATAATATGGCCTGAGGAGTGTAATGTTTGATGATGTAATATACAGCGAAGAGTACGAAAAAAAATTAATATTTCAGCCTCTGATAAAGGATATATTATATAGATGTAACGAATAACATTATTACATCATATCTCTTTTCGTGTTTATGTCACCGTTATAACGAAATTATATAATAATGTTATCTGTCAGCGAGTGGTTCAA